GGAACTTCGAGAAGTTGCTGGAAAATCTAGTCAAAAGACAATGGAATTTCTCCACCAACCTTTTGGGGCCCCTGGTATGTTGATTTTGTTAGATACTTTCCAATCACGTGTGACTCCTAATGACCCGGGGTACATCAGAACCAGACGCTGCCCAATTGTGGTTATGCTTGAACTCATTGTTGCAGCCTTTTCCCCTGGCTGAAGGTCTTCCTCTCTTCCTCAGACCCCCCACTTGTCAGCCATTAGGTCTTTCTCCAGGGACTGGTCCCCAGCTGATAGCATGTCCAACGTGCTTGAAACAAGGCTCACCATGCTCACTTCTCAGGAGCATTCTGGCTTTACTTCTTCCAAGCCAGGCTTGTTTGTTCTGGCAGACCATGGTAATTTCAATATTCTTCACCAGCACCAAAATCCAAAGGCATCCATCCTCCGGTTGTCTAGTCTTCCCCCAGACATATGAGGAGACTGAGAAAACCCTGGTTTGGGTGAGACATACTTTAATGTGCCAGTTGACATTATTGTTGTTGTTGTTTGAGACTTTTAAGAAGCTTTTTGGGACAGATTGACTCAATGCAATATCATTTGATTTCTTGACGGCTACTTCCATGAGCATCGATTGTGAACCCGACTAAAATGAAGTCCTTGATAAACTCAATGTTTTCTTCATTTCTTCATGTTTTCATTGGTCCAGTTGTGAGGATTTCTGCTTCCTTGATGTTGAAATGTAATCCATATTGAAGGCCGAGTGCTTTGATCTTCATCACTATGTGCTTCAAGTCTTCTTGGCTTTTAGTGTGCAAGGCTGTGCTATCTGCGGATTACAGAGCAGCTTCCTCCAACCCCGAGGCCATGTTCCTCTTCATACGGTCCAGCTTCTCAGATGATATGCTCAGCATATGGACGGAAAAATATGGTGTAAGGATTCAGCCTTGATGAACACCTTTCATAATTGTAAAATCATTTCACTTCCCCGGGTTCTGTGTGAACAACTGTCTGCTGGTCTATGTTCATATCCACGTGGACATATTGACGTGTTCTGGAATCCCCAGTCTGCAATATTATCTATAGATTATGACAATTCAAGCAGTCCAGTGCCTTCACAGAGTCAATAAAACAAATAAGCATCTCTTTGGTATTCTATACTTTCAGCCCAGATCCACCAATATCAGCCAGATTTCTGGTTTCACATCCTCTTCAGAATCTGGCTTAAATTACAGAAGCTCCCTGTTAATGTACTGATATTCAATATTTTCAAAGTTATTTTCAACAACATTTCAGGTGCATATCATATCAATGATATTGTTCAATCATTTTCACTCTCTGTTGGATCGCCCTTTTTTTTTTTTTGAATGGGTACAGCTATGGACCTCTTGCGGTCAGTTTCCCAGAGAGCTATGGTCCACCTTCTTGTGCATGGACGAATAAGCGCCTCCTGTGCTGCAGCTGATCGCTGATACATTTCTTTCTTATTTTTTGCTTTCTTTTGGTTTGAGGTTTTTCTGTGCTCTACTTTGTTATTGTTATTAGAGTTTTATTCTTTTTTAATTTAATTTTTTTTCTTTTATTAGGGGCTCTTACAGCTCTTATCACAATCCATATATACATCAATTGTGCAAAGCACATTTGTACATTCATTGCCCTCATCATTCTCAAAAAATTTCCTCTCCACTTAAACCCCCAGCATTAGGTCCTCATTTTCCCCCTCCCTCCCTGCTCCCCCATCCCTCATGAGCCCTTAATAATTTATAAATTATTATTTTGTCATATCTTGCCCTGTCCGACGTCTCCCTTCACCCACTTTTCGGTTGTCCATCCCCCAGGGAGGAGGTCACATATAGTTCCTTGTAATCGAATCCCTCCTTTCTACCCACTCTCCCTCTACCCTCCCAGTATCGCCACTCACACCACTGGTCCTGTAGGGATCATCCACCCTGGATTCCCTGGATTTCCAGTTCCTATCTGTACCAGTGTACATCCTCTGGTCTAGCCAGACTTGCAAGGTCGAATTTGAGTCATGGTAGTGGGAGCGGGGAGGAAACATTTAGGAACTAGAGGAAAGTTGTATTTCTCATTGTTGTTACATCGCACCCTGACTGGCTTATCTCCTCCCCGAGACCCCTCTGCAAGGGGATCTCTTTTGGCCTACTAATGGGCTTTGGATCTCCACTCCACACTCCCCCCATCATTCACTATGGTAAGATTTTTTGTTCTGATGATGCCTTATACCTGATCCCTTTGACACCTCGTGATTGCATAGGCTGGTGTGCTTCTTCCATGTGGGCTTTGCTGCTTCTGAGCTAGATGGCGCTTGATTACCTTCAAGCCTTTAAGACCTCTTTAAGAGCTGTATGAGCCCCTAATAAAATGATTTAAAAAAAGGATCCTTCAGTAGTGCCACTCAGACTTTGTATTTTTCCTTTAGTTCCTTAGATTGAGGAATGATAAGGATGATATCGATTCCTTTTTGTTTTCCTAACTTCAGGACTTTGCAAATTTCATTATAATTCCTTCCTGTTATTTTAATCGAGTTGCCTTTTGAGATGTTCTGTTTAGCTTATTGACTTTACCATGCATTCCAGTCACCTCCTCCTCTCTTTATCCAAGAGCAATTTTCAGAGTACTCTTTCCATCCACGTTGGCCTTGTCTTCCTTTTGTGCCTTTGCTGTCCTCATGTCTGATGTCCTTGATGTCATCCCATACTCCTCTGGTTTCCTTTCATTTTCATTTAATGCATCAAATCAAACCTTGAGATTGTCTGTAAATTCAGGCAGGCTATACTCAGCGTCATATTAATTTGGCTCTTGTGAACATGTGTTAATTTTTTCAAACTCAAGCTGAACTTGCCTGTGATCAAATGCTGGTCCATTGCACAGTGGCCCCTGCCTTATTTTGGCTGATGAAGTATAGCTTCTCCATTGATATTGTTCACATACATATTTGATTTTATTCTTGTGTATGTCATCTGGGGAGGTCCATATGTGCAATCACCATTTTTGCTGTTGAAAAAAGGGATTATTCAATGAGTTAATTGTTCATCTTGAAAAGTTCTATTATGTGATATCCAGCTTCTTTGCTGTCATTAGTTTTTCTACCTACTGATCCTTTGTTTTTGTGTTCTATTTTTATGTTCAAATCAATTCATCAACATTGCATGTTTGATCAATTTCAAACTGCAGAATGGGGTAGAATTCATTTTCCTCATCATTGTTTTTAGTAATGGGTATGTGATTTAAATAAAAGCATTGTCTTATTAACTAGCCTTCCTCTTCGGCATATGAGCAGTATCCTATCAAAGACAGCATTGTATTCTATGCTAGATCTTGAAATGTTCTTTTTGCAGTTAACTCGATGCTGTTCCTCTTCAATTTTGCATTACCAGCATAATAGACCATAGTGCTGGCCAACTCAAAATGGTTGAGACCAGTTCATCTCAGCTCACAATACCTAGGATCTTTTTATACTTTCCATCTAAGTTTTGATGATTTCCTATATTCCTAGATGTCTACTTACACATTCAACATTTCACTTATTGTTGTATACTTGAAGCTATTTTTCTACTTTCGCGTCATGCTCTATCAGCAAATAAAGGCCCTGAAAACTATGCTCCATCCCTAACATCAAGGCAGAAGTTCGAGTCCAGTAGTATTTGGAATGCCTTCCAACCTTAGGAGCTGGTCCTCTGGCATTATCTCAAGCAAATTCCACTGCTAGTCATCAGTTTATACAGATGAACTCTTCAGAAAGATCCAACCTGTTCCTTCTCCCCACTCTGTTTCTTTGGAAACTCTTCTGACACCTATACACCATGGGTTGGTTACCTGTTGATATTTGAAACCCTGAAGCGTAACTTCTAGTAACATGCAAAGTTACTGTAGTATGACAAACTGTCAGAAACTCAACCCTAATGGTCTCGTGTGTGTCAGAGCATCACCGTGCTCCATAGGGTTACTAGTGGCTGACTTTTCAGAAGTAGACCGAAAGGCCTATCTTCCAGGATGCTCTGAGTGACCTGAGGCGTCCACTTTCCAGTGAGAAGTAGAGTACATTGACCATTGCAGCACTCAGATACTTCCGCACAAACACGCACAGTTTGTCAAATATGTCATTATTTTATTGCAAACTAGTCCTGGGGAGGAACTCAGGTAAGACCACTAATAATCTATCAGGAATGAGAATCAGGATAACATAGAGGTGATCAGATTCGAAACCATTAGACATCAGGCATATTTGCACCTTTAACATGAGGATTTTTGAGAAAGAACAGACAACAGACAAGGGCAGTGGAGGTCCTTCATAGCAGGTGTGTGAGATCAGACTGCTAGCTAAATTCTTAGTTTCTTGGGCAGAGTCTCAGTTCTCGGAGAGTGTTAGAGAAGAGATAGATGTGTTGTGACTCTACCTCTCTGGGTTCAAGGGGTTAGATGTGATTTTCTTATCAAGACTTGCACCTGAGAACGGTGTGATGGCATGTATAAGATACACCAGCGCTTTACCCTGTTCTTCAAACTCAGAGCTTAGCTTTAGGTAGAGTCTCCTTCTTAGGAAAAGAGCATGGGGTGGCATTTTACAACTTATAAATTTATGTCTCCAAGCCAATTTACAGAAATTTAGCTATAGGTTTCATTTTCCTTTTTCACAATATGCCCATAGAAAATCAACTGAAAGAATTCATTTAGGGTATCTCTCTATATCTATTTCAGCTAAATTCACATATGTCTGGCTTACACATACGTGGTTTGACAATATGACAAACACACTCAAACTACACATATATTATTAATATTATTTCATTGAACAATGGTAACTTATCATTTTTATGGACAGATTGAATAAGTTTAATAATACATATAATATGAATTATAGCAAATCCAAGAACAATGATTAATTTGAAAATGTTCTCTGTTTCCAGCGCTCCTTAAATATTGTGCTTCTTTGACGGCTCTTCAGCTCTGAGCTTCCTGTTGCAGATGCCTTGGACGCATCAGTTTGGGCCATGAGCATGGGGGGAAACCAGACCTGGATCTCAGAGGTCACTTTGCTGGGATTCCTGGTGGACCCAGCCCTGGAATATTTTTTGTTTGGGGTCTTCTCTATGTTCTATGTTTTAACCCTGCTGGGAAATGGGGCTATTGTGGGGCTCATCTGCCTGGACTCCCGACTGCACACACCCATGTACTTCTTCCTCTCTCACCTGGCCGTGGTTGATGTGTCCTATGCCTCCAACAATGTGCCCAAGATGCTGGCAAACCTTGTGGGTGAGAAGAGAACCATTCTCTTCATCCCTTGTGTAATGCAGACATTTCTATATCTGGCTTTTGCTCACACAGAGTGCTTGATTTTGGTGGTGATGTCTTATGATCGGTACGTGGCCATCTGCCACCCCCTCCATTATGCGATCATCATGAGCTGGAAGGTCTGCAGCACACTGGCTATCACAACCTGGGTATTTAGTTTCCTCCTCGCCCTGGTCCATGTGGTTCTCATCCTGAGACTGCCCTTCTGTGGGCCTCATGAGATCAACCACTTCTTCTGTGAAATCCTGTCTCTCCTCAAGCTGGCCTGTGCAGACACACGGCTCAACCAACTGGTCATCTTTGCAGCCTGTGTGTTTATATTAGTGGGGCCCCTCTGTCTGGTGCTGGTGTCCTACAGCCGAATCCTCATGGCCATCCTGAGGATCCAGTCCGGGGAGGGACGCAGAAAGGCCTTCTCCACCTGCTCCTCCCACCTCTGCGTGGTCGGGCTCTTCTTCGGCAGTGCCATCGTCATGTACATGGCCCCCAAGTCCAGCCACCCTGAGGAGCAGCAGAAGGTCCTTTCGCTGTTCTACAGCCTGTTCAACCCGATGCTGAACCCCCTGATCTACAGCCTGAGGAACGCAGAAGTGAAGGGTGCCCTGCGGAGAGTGCTGTGCAAGGAGAGGTCAACGTGACAGATATCAGAGTCCTAGGGTGGAGGCTTTGCTCCACGGGACATGGAGGTTGCAGCTGTTTACCATGTGCTGGAAGAAATGCCAACTTAAATGCAATATTCATAACTCAAACGCTAAAACTTGAACTATAGTGCTTCCAGAGGGAAAGAGTAAAAAGGGAGAAAACCTTTGTGACATTCAGGTTGGCGTCGATTCTTAGAGAAGGTGTAAAAAGCAACAACAAGTAAACATTTTATGGTAAACTTGAGATTCTTTGGGCAATATCCTCTCTGTTGTCACAAATATAGTAGGGCAACAGCAGCCACAGATCATGTGTACATGGGTGACTGCTGCTGTGTTCCAATAAATCTTTATTGACAAACAAAAAGCTCACCTGGTCTGACTCATGAGTAGTAATTTATTGATTCTTTATTTGCATCTGAAAGTTTATCCACTTCCATTTTATGCCAACTCAGAGGCCAATCCTGGGTGGTCCTGGAGTCTACAACACATGGCCAATTGAAAGCGAGAGACTTGGAGGGCATTTGGGGGCCACTCCAGAGTGAGCCCAGCCTGCCTTGAAACTTCTAGAATATGTCCTGTCTGAGCCTTTGGAACATTCCATCATCATCATCATGAGTTCTGAGCAGTTCCCCTGCTGCTCACCACTCATTCGAATCTGAGACCTGGAGTGGGAGCCACTGAGACTACGAGGTGGAACCTCAGCGATCGTGGAGTCAAACACAGAACATCTTGTACCCACTGCTTTCATGACTATTTGATTAATTGGGTTCTTGGTTTTTGCTTCTTATATTTACAATTTTGTCACTGATTTATTTGAAGTTCTTTATCCCTTTAGCTTGGTCTTTAATGATTTGTTTTAAGAGACACTCAACTCAGCCTGCTCATGTAGGAAGTGCAATTTCTGAATTCCATCTGGTAGCAGATACCTTTACAAGGCACCAGTCTCACCAACTGTGTCTCTAGATATTTTGGAGTTATTGTAACAGGCTAATCTTTACCATGTAAAGACCAATTTATGTAGACCGATTGCTCAGGAGAACCCTATAGCTGAAAATTGCTCTGAAAATTACAGGCAGTGTTATCTGACTTTCAAGAATCTCAGAACACTTTAAGTGTGACTGCCTCTTCTGCTTTATAATAACGTTTCTGATTGTTTTCTCTTCTGGTCCTCCTAATCCAAAATTAAAATAAGCATTCTCGTTTCTAGCCTTCAAACACTACACAATAAATCCTCTCCATCTCTACTAGTTTCCTGGTTGCAAAACATCCCCTGATAAGTTTCTCTGGTGCATTTGGTTTGAAAACACTTTACTAGGAGAAGAAAGCCTCATCTTTCTCAGCCACAGGTGGGCTCGAACTGCTGCATTTGTACTAGACATCCAACAAGTAGCTCACTATGTTAACTAGGTTTTTACATCCAAATGGACGACATGAACAGGGACGCTGCTTTGAAATTGATAAGACAAGTTCAAATATTGAGATAAATGAATTTATAATATGACCTAAATTTTGAAAATTTCCACTGGCAGGATCTTGTATCATTTTCAGAAAAAATGGCTCACTCAATCCCAAATCAACATGAGAGAACCCATTTCTTGAGACTACCTGGAAAACTAAGAGACGAAATATGAAAATACATTCACTGGTTCAGAAGCTCATAAGACAGTTGTAAATGATTCCTTTCCCTCTAGGGAGAGAGGGAGTGGATGTAATCCCTCATGGCTCCTTCTGAATCATCTCTGTGTCTCTAGAGAGTGAGCTGGATTCACCTGATGATAGATGAGGCCCTTGCTCTCAAAAGACAAACTCATGATGAAGTTCAGTTAGTATTCTGTCTCTGGGCTCCACCTCACGGTGATGCTGCCTTCGGGGCAAGACTTAGCCTTACCCCTGTAGGATGTCCTTTCTTCTTGTTGACACGCATTCTGAGCCCAAGACCCTGTCTGAAGAATTGGTCGGCGACAAGATCAGTGTAAGTAAAATAGCTCATCACCCAAGACAGTGCCTACCTCAGGTGGGAGATGGAAAGAGGGAAGGACAGCCACCATGGGCTGTAGGACCAGTGACAAATGTCCTTCCCTGGACCATCAGCTTTTGACACAGGTCTGTCCTCACAGTCATGGCTCTGGTGTGAGCACCATGAACAGGTATAAGAATAAACAAAACAACCCCAGAAGCATTTGCTGTGCTATAGAGTATTGACTGGAGTGTTTTTATTTATTTTTTTAAAAAATCATTTGATTGGGGCTCATACAACACATCACAATCCACACATACATCAATTGTGCAAAGCACACTTATACATTCGTTGCCCTCCTCATTCTCAAAATTCTTGCTTTCCACTTGGGCTCCTGAAATCAGCTCCTTGTTTTTCTTTTTTTTCCCCTCTCTCCCCGCTACCCCCTCCCTCATGAACCCTTGATAATTTATAAATTATTATTTTATCATATCTTACACTGCCCAGCATCTCCCTACACCCACTTTTCTGTTGCCCATCTCCCAGGGAAGAGGTTATATGTAGATCCTTGTAATTCATTCCCCCTTTCTACCCCCACTTCCATCTTCCCTCCCGGTATTGCCACTCTCACCATTGATCCTGAGGGGTTCATCTGTCCTGGATTCCCTGTGTTTCCAGTTCCCATCTGCACCGCTGTGCATCCTCTGGTCTAACCAGGTTTGCAAGATAGAATTGGGATCATGATAGTGGTGGGGAGGAAGCATTTAAGAACTAGAGGAAGTTTGTGAGTTTCATCAATGCTACACTGCACCCTGAGTGACTCATCTCCTCCCCAATACTCCTCTGCAAGAGCTGTCCAGTTGTCGACAGATGGGCATGGGGTCCCCATCACGCACTCCCCTCATTCACAATGATTGATTTAAGTTCCATTTGTTTGGGTTCATTCTCTGAGGTGTGGTCTCCCTTCATACTACTCATAGCACCAGCATTCCTTTATCTCTGGATATGGACACATGTAATGACCTTTATTCTTCACCTCACCCCTTTAGACCATTGTATAGGTGACAGTAATGAGCATTAGAAATCAGATTTAGGATTAGATGGTGACCTGGCCAACACTGCTAATCAAGTGACTCCTTTGTTTCTGTTCAGAGCTTTGGTCTTCCTCAGATATAGCTCTTTGCATCATCTCAGTGTGGACAGAGTTATGCATTTTTAAGTATTTTCCTTTTATCTTGTCTATTAAGATATTTTTTAGCTACAACTGGGTCTGTTACTTAAATCCTTCTCTCTAAGTTCTTGCTTCTGTGGTCTCTGCCCTGGACCTTTGTAGGGGGAAAGAGGTTTCCCTCAAATGAGAAATCTGAATACTCGCTGTGCCCTTTGTTACTGGAGTGACTTACTACCTTCCCTGGTCACACAACTCAGCTGGCCAACATTTATTGCCTGTGACAGAGCTTTCTCCTCACAGTCTTTAGCATGAAACTGGCACACGTATGATTGGTTTCAAGTGTAATGTGGACACTCGGGTTCTGTGGTCTGGAGATCATTCACATCTGATGAAATGTTTATTAGATGAAAGACTGTTTGGCCAACTTGTCCATAGATGTCCTTTAGGAATAGTTTTCCCCCATCCCTGTAGGGTGTTTGATTCCTCAGAAATTTCTGTAAAAATAGTTCACATGCAAAATCCTCTGTCCCAGATTATGTTTTCATGGTGAACTTTTCTTGGATGTGTCAAGACATTCTAGTCATGTGATATGAGGGGACAAATGACTGTCCCCCATGGTTTCAGAAACACCCAAGGTCTCTGTGGTCAGCAGCCTGGATATGGAAGGATACAGATGAACAGCCCACAGAGGGAGATCTCGTGGGGCCTTCCAGGTCCCCTGCCCAAGCCCAGTGCACGCTCTGCCTCCATCATTGCCTTAGACCGTCACCCTCCCAGCTGCTTGAGTCACCTGAGTCTCTGCAGAGACTGAGTCTGAACATTAGCTCCCTCCCTCCAGTTCCCTGCAGCTGACTCGGCTCAAGAGACAGGCAGACGGTTCTTTATGATTCCTGGGCCCACTCCTTAGGAAACCAACCAACCAACCAAATGAACAACCAAACAAACTCACTGCCACCGAGTCAATGCCAACTCACAACAACTCCGGTGCGTTTCTGAGATTGCAGCTGTTGACTGGAGTAGAACGCCCACTCTTTCTTCGGCAGAGCAGCTGGTGGTTTCAAACTGCCGACCATGTGGATCGCAGCCCAACAGGTAACCACTATACCACCGGGGCTCCTATTCCTTAGAGGACAGATTAAAATATATACAGTGTGCCATGAAGGACTTCGAATTTTGAGCTCTCTGAGCCTGCCTTTCTGCTTTTTCATGGGGGCTAATTTTTGACATAATTTTGGTACATGTACTAAGTGCTTATTCTCTTCTATTGTTAATTCAGTAAATTTATATTATCCAAAAACAAGAGAGCTCACATTCCAGATAGTGTAAACTGGAAATTTAATTTAACTTTATATATTAGATATCATTAATTCCTCCTGCATAGATTTTAAAAATACAAATCAATCAATTTTCATAGAGTCAAAATTGTGCCTATGATCTCAAATAAATTTAATTCAACAATCTTTGCATGAGCGTGCAACATACACTACCGACCACAGTTTTCTGGCTATTTCCTGAGATTCCCATTGTAAGGTCACTGGGGACTTGGGCAAAAAGCCTAAGATGACCAATCTCACGAAGACCAAGCCGGAATCCATGCCGTTAGTGACTTTGTAGGTGTTCACTTAGAGTCCATGGCCCAGGCCGGGAAGACTTCATGGCTCTGTGGCCCAATGTGGCCACTAGCAGGGATGTTGGTCAAGGGCTGGGAATTTCCAGCAGCTCACTTTGGTTTGGCTCACTCAGGAAGGGGGTGGGTCCCACCAGCAGACGGTCTATTGTGTCCACCAAAAGCAAGCAGGCTAATTCTGAGCCCTCTCTCTAAGAAAGTCACTGATCTGCTCTTGGACTAAAGCAAAGTCCTACATCTTC